CGAGTTGTAAGTTTCTTTATATAGTTTAGATACTAGACCCTTACCAGATATATGATTTGCAAACATTTTCTCTCATGCTGTGGACTGTCTTTCCACTTTCTTGATAATGTCCTTTGACACGAAAAGGTTTTTAATTTTGATGAAGTCGAAAATAATGAGTTTTGAGATGCTTTTAAAGTTTAGTTTGCAAAACAGTGTTAAAAGCCTGCATCTTGTTTCTTTAAACACAAACACACACATCACAGTACTGCCATAAAACTGTTCACCCTCTTTGTCAGAGCTGGGTTAGGGTACAGGCATACTACCCTGTTCGAGTCTGGCAAGCTAAGATCCCATCAAAGAGAGCAAAAGAGTATATAAGACCTGTCTAAGGACACACGTTGGTGGGTGACAAAGCCAAGGCTTCAGCCTAGGTCTTCCAACCTCAAAACAGATGCTCTTTCCACTACTACATTAGCTAGCACATGGTCTGCTCCAGTATGAGAGGCAATGTACTAAGTAAGGTAACAGTACTGGATTAAGAGCTGGGAAGCCAGTTCTGGAATTGTAACTAACTTGCTGTGTGCTCTTGGACAAGTTGCTTCATCTTCCCCTCTCCATGTGTCCATGTCTATAAAATGAGGAGGCTGAACACATGAACTTCAAGGTCTCTTCATTATAAACATTTTCGAGAAATCACTATTGATTAAGCAGAATAGTTAAAAACCAAACAAGAAAAAAACCCCTTAGTTCTTAACCTGTTAAACTGTAGAGGAAATAAATAAATAAACAGCTATGTGTGAAAACATGCAGCTGTCCAGGCCCCACCCCCAGAGAATCTGATTCAGGTCTGGGATGAGGTCCAGAAATCTCTATTTTTTACTAAAACCCCAAGAAAGTCTGATGTAGACAGTCTTCATATGTTATAAAAAATATTATCTAAGGAAGCTGAAATCCAGAGTAACAAGCTAGTTAGTGGCAGATATACATGTTTTGCTGAGTGCTTACTATGTGCCAGGAACCACTTTTTAAGGTAAATACTATTATTATCCCCAATTTACAGATGAGGAAACTGAGATACAAAGAGATTTATTAACTTGCCCAAGAACATATATCTGTTAAGTGGCAGAGCAAGGATTCAAAGCCAGCCAGCCAGCCTGGTTCCAGAACCTACGTTCTCAGCTACTAAGGTATAAAAGGGGTACTTTAAGATCAGGTTGACAGTTCAGCCAGGAGACAGAAATCCATGTATGAAGTTAAAAGGGCCTGGATATAACTTCTAGAAAGCATGGTTTAATACCACATGTCAATTTTAATAGCCAAAACAATTTTAATAGCCAAAAACCATCCAGCCAGGAGACAGAAATCCACATATGAAGTTAAAAGGGCCTGGATATAACTTCTAGAAGGCATGGTTTAATACCACATGTCAATTTTAATAGCCAAAACAATTTTAATAGCCAAAAAAAATCCAGCCAGGAGACAGAAATCCAACTATGAGGTTAAAAGAATTTGGATATAGTTCTGGAAAGCATGTTTTAATGCCACATGTCCATTTTAATAGCCAAAACAAATTAAGCAAATAATTTTTATAGCCTGCTACGTAGAACAAAATGCTTTGATGTATTTTGGGAAAAATAACTTACTGCAATGATCTAAGTTATTCTGTGATGGAAGCTGGAAGGTTATATTTGCATACCTATCTTTAAGATCAGGAAACTAAAATTGCTTTGTTCTCAAAGTCAGTTTCATAGAAGCAGAAACTCACATCTGCTTAGGGAAAACTACAAGCACATTTGCATCTCTTTATTACATTTCTTCATGGCAAGTAAAACCAAAGCTGCAAGAAATAAAATAAAAACCCTCCAAAAAAATCAAGACAAATCAAATTAAAGAAACTGTAAGGTAACAGCCTCTCATTCCCACAGAGCAAAAGCTTCTCTATTCATTCAGCTCCTGCTCCACTGAGAGTAACATCTTTTCCCCATTTTCTCTTCCACAGTACCCTCAGTTTTCAAATAGAGGCATCATCCTCTAAGGCAGTTTCTGAAGACTGGGGTGGCAGATCTGAAGTTTTTTCTCTGCTAAATTCAATGCTCCAAGTATTTATTCTGTGTTGATCACTACAGAGAACGTCTCATGGGAAACTGGACAAATTGGTAGAACAATATAAAACAGTATGTCATATTAAGTGACAGCTGAATTCCCATATGCAATAAATGCCAGAGACTTCAGAGGAAAAACAACTCAATGTAAGGCTGAAATGAAGTTCTCCAAGAAAAAGCACCTAAACAGCTCCTGACTTATTTTCTCTCTCCTCGGCCCCTCACTTCTTAGTTAATTCTGCCAAGTGCTCCTTTCTGAGGCCTTTTATCTATCTCTGCTACTCAAGTTAGGGTTCTCTTCACCTTATCATTCTATTTTTATAGCCCTGTACAAAGAACATTTACCAATATTATGACTTAATATTTACAACAAGCCTACCATATGTATGGGCATCCACAATGTACACATAAGGAAATTTAAGTTCAGTGATATCAAACTTATCCAAGACCATGTAGTTTTTAACATGCTGCACTAGAACTCAAACTTGTCTTTCTTTTTATATTAAACCCCATATACTAGTATGGTATGAGAAGACTTATTAGAAGACTTCTAATTTCTACCACTCCGAACTATTTGAATAACTTTTCTAAAACCACTTTATATATTAGGCTCAAAAACCTTCAACAGGCTTGCTTCCTACTTCTACTTCAAGCAATCCATGCCCTTCTTCATCTGATTCTACCTATTTGTCATTACAGGTCTCTTAGAGCAGCAGTGCCCAACCTTTTTGGCACCAGGGACCAGTTTTGTGGAAGACAATTCTTCCACAGACTGGGGTGGGTGGACGGGGATGGTTCAGGCCGTAATGCGAGCGATGGGGAGTGACAGATGAAGCTTTGCTCGCTGGTACCCCATTCACCTCCTGCTGTGCGGCCCGGTTCCTAACAGGAACTGGGGGTTGGGGACCCCTGTCTTAGAGAACAGTCAGTCAACAGTACCTGAGAAACATCAGGCACCGTGTACCTTTGTTCAAGGACATTCTTAACTGGTAGGCTGTCTGTCTCTGTCTCTCTCTCAAAATAAGGTCCCAGTTCCACTCTCAAACATGAGGTCTTTCCCTAGGGCTCTCATCCCCTTATCAATTAGATCTCAGGAATCATTCTCTCACTTTAACTTCTCTAAAAAGTACACATGTGAATACCAAATAGTTTTATGTTTAATATTTTGGGTACCCCATGTCCTATACTCAGCTATACTGAGTACTTTCTGGCAGTAGGATTCTTGATTCTTTTCCTCTGCCATTACACCTCTGTATTAGATACTATAGGTTACAGAGATCATTAACGTATATCATCTCATTTGATTCTCCCCAAAACCCTAATATTTCAGGTGAAGAAAGGAAAGCTTGGTGAGGTTAAATGACTTGCCAATCTTCATACAGTTTGAAACTAGCAGATCTATGTCAAAGCCCAAATCTTATGACCCCCAAACGCAGGTTCTTCCAAAACGCACTGATGCCATACACTTTTCAGTAATCACTGCCTTAGCAGACTGTCCATGCTTAATGTTTGCTAGTGATGATCCAAGTGGAGCAAAGAGCAAGAGCACTCAATGGGACAGAATAAACATAGGCCGTGAGGTGTTCACCCAGCAGGAAGGCAGGATCTGTGTATGAAAATGACCATCAATTCTCAACACTTTCACACACCTTGGAGCGATTTACCATCCCAACTCCCAGAACATGTTCCTATCTCTTAAGAAGGGTTAAGAGTGTGAGAACCATGTAATTCAAAACCAATGACACCCAAAAAGAGAAGCAAAACGATCTGGATCCAAGCCCCTCAATATGATCATGTATTAATTTCTTAAGCACCTACCATGTGTTAAGCACAGAGAAGTCTGAAAGCTGTTTTCAATTAAAGTAAACAATCCTGACTATTTACTATGTTAAAGACCCCATGCTTAACATTTCTCATCAAACTGGCTTAGGGCCCTACAATGAGAGAACTGGAAGGAACCTTAGGGTACATTAAGGCTAAGTCCCTCATTTTACAGATGAGGAAACAAAACACAGGGAGAACAAGCACATTTCAAGGTCACACAGCTAATTAGAGGCAGAACCAGTACTAGGACCCAGACCTACACGCAACTGTTTCTCTCGAGATACTATGCAAAGGGCAAGAAGGGCCAACCCAGGAAAAGAATCTGCCTTTTTTTCTTTTCTTTTAAACCCTTGTTGTTAGGACCACATTAACAGAAACAAACAAAAAACAAAACAAAAAACCACAACTGGATGGGTAGAGGGGGAGAAGAGGTAAGCCTGAGCAGGTAACAAGCTCATGAATACGATTCACCTAGGGCACTTGGCGTGGAGGGGGGAGGGAAGGAAGGGGGAGGGTGAAGAAGAGAGGAAAAAAGATAAATCTTAAAGGCTTCCTGTCAGCGCGTAGGGGAAGTCAATACTCGAAGCTCAGTATTCGGGGTATCGAGATAAAACGCCTAGAAACTTCAGTAAGCAAAAGGCCCAAAGCACTCTGGAATATGTAGCAGCACGCAAGTGTGGCGGTCGTGATGGGGAGATTGGAGGCTACTGACTTCGAACAGCGGCTTTCATTCAGTCAGGATTCACATTTCCCTGTCGGTGAAATGGGCACATTCAACAGTAACCCCCAGCACCACCAAGGAAAAAGCGATGGCTGCACTGAAATGTGAGAATAATCGAATATTCCTAAGAAGCTGTAGTGACCGGCATTAAGGACCGATCACTTCCGAGAAGTAAAGAAGTCCTAAAGAGGAGAGAGCCCGGGTTTGAGGTGTGTAGGGAGCTGGCTACAAGCGCCCGTAGGGTTCCCACTGTGGGCCCGACGAGCACTCCCCCTGGGAAGCCGCAGAAGGGGGGGCGAGGATGGGAAAGGGGGCTCGCCGCCTCCCGGGCGTCCCCAGGCCTCGCCTGCCCCCAAGAACCGACTTCTCACCTTGTCCAGCAAGCCGCTGCGGCTACTGCCTGTCCCACAGCTGGAACCACTTCCAGCCCCACTACTGCCTCCGCCACCACCAGTTCTCCCTCCCTGTGCAGCCGCCGCCGCCATCTTGCTTGCTTCTGCGTCTCCCTCCCCTCCTACTTGTCCGAAGCCGATTGGCTGGAGCTGACGGCGTGACGTGCCGCGCGGAGTCCATCGGGATCCGTAGCTGGGGCTGGCTGACGCGAGGTTGCCAGCGGAAGTGGCCGCGGGGTTGCCGGAACTTGTAGTAATTAGAAGCTCCAGTCATCAGTTGCCGCCTACTCGGGCAGCCGCCGCGTCGCGGTTACTAAGGAGTGGAGAAGGTAGTGGTAGGCGCCACGGTGGAGCGGCTCCGAGTTCCCCCGGAGGCTCGCAGGCGCGCAACCCGCCAGACCGGGCCGTCGCCCCCGCGGACGTCTCGGAGGCGGAAGCGACGCCGGAGGCAGGTGCGGCTGGAAACTGGAAACTTAGTTTGCGTGACGGGTTAGAGTCTCCCCCGCCCCAGATGTAGCGTTTGGCAAGGAGGGGGCAGGAGCTCGTCCTTCGTCCTTTTCTAGCCCTGTAGAACTGTACGTACTGGTTCTTTGGTGACCGTCATCTTAGCTGTTAGCATTGTCTTCGTGTTACAGAGAACTCACATTCACTGAGTGCCTACTGCCTGCCAGGCACTGTCTTAAGTGCGTATATATCCCTCCTCTCATTTAGTCTCCTAACGGACCAGTCAGGTGAGGAAACTAAGGCACTTAACTAAGGCCAGATAGCATGTATCAGAACCTAGTTTAGCAGCCAGATTTTTTAAAATATAAATTTATTTTATTTATTAATTTTGGCTGCGTTGGGTCTTCGTTGCTGCACACGGGCTTTCTCTAGTTGCGCCGAGCGGGGGCTGCTCTTCGTTGTGGTTCGCGGGCTTCTCATTGCGATGGCTTCTCGTTGCAGAGCACGGGCTCTAGGCACGCGGGCTTCAGTAGTTGGGGCTCACGGGCTCTAGAGCGCAGGCTCAGTAGTTGTGGCGCAAAGGCTTAGTTGCTCCGCGGCATGTGGGATCCTCCCCGACCAGGGCTCGAACCCGTGTCCCCTGCACTGGCAGACGGATTCTTAACCACTGCGCCGCCAGGGAAGCCCCCAGATGTTTTTTTTTTGACATCAAACCAGTGTCATGCTCCCTTTGTTACCACCTGGGGTCCTTGGACTCTTTAATCAATAGATATTGGTAAGAGGCCAGGCGGGGAATTCAGGTAAGGCTTTATTGGGACTCGTCCTGCAGCAGGAGGGAGCAAAACAAGAAACAGGTGGGGGTGGAGGGGTGGCGGGTGAGCTGGTCCCTTAAATGGGGTGAGGGTGGGGGGATGGGTGGGGGGGGCTTAGGTGGTCTTCCCACCCCCTTGGTGGTGCTGTGTGCAGGGGTCATGGGCAGTACCCTGCTTTTGCTCCTAACACCTCAGAAGTGGCAGTTGGCTTCTGGCCTTTTTGTGTCTTACTGTTCATAATTTGCCCCAGCTGTGCATGCATGCAGTTACTTTTAGTCCTTTTGAGTTTCTTTGTATTTTGTTGTTCAAGGAGTTGTTTGTCCAGGTGCAAGCACTCTAGTAAAGGGTCACAGGTCTCAACCTATCTCACCTTTGCCGCCCTGCCTTTACAGTTTTAGGATGTAATAATATTCCAGATTTTTATTAATTCTTTTTTTTACACAAATATTTATTGAGCACCAACATTGCTTGGAACTGCACTAAGGGATACTAGGGGATCAGAAAAGACCTGTTCCCTACTTTCATGGAACTCCTACTCTAATGACTTAGAGTTACCACATAATAGGACTTAATAATGATCTACTACACTGCATCATTTTTTTTAACTCCCCATGAATTCCTCATATAAGTGTCCAAATGATTGAACAAACAGTACTTACTATGGAGTGGTCACTGTTCTTGGCACTGGGCACATACCCCTGAATAACAGACAAAACACCCGTCTTGATAAAGCTAACACCCACCTGACCATAACTATTACTAAAAACTATTAGATGCAGTTTCTTCACCTCTGTGAAGCAATCCAGTCAGATGCCCCTGTAGCTTTTTATCTTTTTATAACTTATGTTTCAAGACCCAGCTCTAATGTCACCTGCGCTGTGAAACTTCCCTGATCCTTCTTCCTTCTTTGCAGACAGAATGAAGAACTCCATAGTATTGTGTTCATGGTTCCATTTAGTTCAGTAAGCACTCAATTGAGCCTCTTCAATGGACCAGACCCTGTTTGAGGTGCTGGGGATAAAGATATAGGTAGGACCCAGGCCTGGCCTTAGAGAGGCTCACTGAGGTTAGGGTGTAAGGAGTGGGGAACAGACAGGTAAGCAGGCCATTATAATACAGTGTGGCATGGTGCCTTCATTAAGAGGTGGGCTGAGGTGGTAACACAGATGAGGGTCAACCTGAGGAGGGGGATATACAGGAAGTTCTTCTGTATGCATCAGGCAAAGAAGAGGGGCAGAAGTGTGATAGACCGAAGGAATGGAAAAAGCAAATGTATGCAGATGAGAAGCATTATTCTGTGTGTGTGTGTGTGTGTGTGTGTGTGTGTGTGTCTTACCTTTCAACTTTGTCTTTGCTGGTTTTATCATGCATAAGTTTATTTTGTGTAAATGGCCATATAAATGATCCTTTCCTTTCTAATTTGTGATTTGCACTTCCTATTAAGCGCTCTAGCCCACCCCATTGTCATAAAATTATTCTCTTGTTCCACCCCCTTGTCTATGTCTTCATCTCTATTTCTTTTCTCTCTGTTTCTGGGATCTTTAGTCCTGTAGTATTTTTCTAGGCCTCAGGTGAGACACATTTTGGATCAAAGGGTCATAGTAGGATATAATTAATGAGAAAGTTCAAGAGCTCTAAATGGCAAACTAAGAAGGAGTGCAATATCTATTTTACAGGTGAAGAACCAAAAAAAAAAGGAAGTCAAGAGGTCTTCCCCAAGATCAAAGATCAAGTAAGTACTATGCAGATCAGAACCAAGGTCCCCATATTCTGTAAGTTACTGGAGTTTTCTCCAGCAGTCGTCTTCTCTAACATTTTCCAGGCAGCTATATACTCATTCATTCATTCATTCATTCACCCATCTAGCAGATAGGTGTGATTGGTCACAAGAGGAATTTCCTGAAAGACAGATTGACTGGATGACCGTCTTCCCCATCCAACCATCCATCCATCCCTTCATCTTCCCAGCACATTTTTAATGTGTTCTAGGCTCTATGCTAGGCTCTGGGATTATATAGGTCACTAGGTATTATAGGCCCCATAGCAGGTGGGAAGTTGGTAAAGGGAGAAAACAATTATAATAAAATGATAAGTGTTATACTAGGAGAAGTATGGAGTATCGTGGAGGCACATAGAAAGGGCCCCCAACCCTTTTCAGAGTGGTCAGGGATCAGAAAATTCACAGTGCCCTGTGTTGAACCAAAGGAGATGTCAAGATCACTCATTCATTCCACAGGTACTTATGGAATCTATTATGTGCCAGGTGTTAGGTACTGGGAGTAAAGAGATGAACACCATAGATGCTGTCCTTCTCCTGGAGGGGCTCAAAGTCTAGTCAGGGAGATTAGAAATATGTATAAAACCCCTTGGGCCCTGGGAGTACCATTGTACCCTTCATTTGGCTCACATATGTTTATTGGGTGTTTCCTATGAGCTTTCGAAGAGTGGAAGAATGACAGTGAATTGGACATGTTTCCAGACTTGGAGGTTCAGAGGCCATTGAAACAGCCCCCTCATGATTGTTAGTAATCTTATGAGGTAGAAAGGGGTGTGGCCATGAAAGACTTACAGAAGAAAAACTCCAGAGTTTAGCTAAAACAGCAATTATGTCCCTCTGGTAGGTTCAGTGAGGACTTTATGGAAGGGATGGCATCTGGACTGGGTCTAGAAAGAAGCTTGTTTTTTCTATTACCTCATTTAATTCTCACAACAATTCCCTGAGGCACAGGTTTTAATCCTCATTTTATATGTGAGAAATCTGAGGCCCAAAGAGGTAAAGTGATTTGCAGAAGGTCACTCCACTTAGTAGTAGAAACTAGTCTCAAATTTAAGTCTCTTGTCTCTAAAATTGTTGCCGCCTCCTACTGCACCCCTCTACTTTTCATATTTGTCACTTCCAGGAAACATTTTCTCAGGACACCTGATCCCAGCTCTCCACTCTGCTCCTTCTTTGTACTGAATCTCTTCCCAGACCCTCCATCTCAGGGTTCCGCATTCTTGCCAGGGTCTCCCTTCCCCTGGCCAGGTTCCCAAACCTCTGCTACCCCAAATTGTCTGAAGCTATCCCAAAGCAGATTAGGGAATGACTGGATCCTTTTAAAGAAAAATCTCAATCTCTAAGAGCTTAAGGTTCAAAAAATTTAGATCTTTGATAAGAGATTGTTTTCCTAAAGGAAGTGGCATTTGAGCTGAATCTTTTTTTTTTTTTTTTTTTTTTTGCGGTACGCGGGCCTCTCACTGTTGTTGCCTCTCCCGTTGCGGAGCACAGCCTCCGCACGCGCAGGCTCAGCGGCCATGGCTCACAGGCCTAGCCGCTCCGTGGCATGTGGGATCTTCCCGGACCGGGGCATGAACCCATGTCCCCTGCATCGGCAGGCGGACTCTCAACCACTGTGCCACCAGGGAAGCCCTGAGCTGAATCTTAAAGCATGAGATCTGCCAGATGAACAAGGTGGATAGAGCTATTTTAGGCCAAAGGAACACTAAGAACAAAGGCATGGAAGACCGAATGTGTTTGGGGGAATAGAAAATGATTCTGTGAGCCTCTTGGGTGGAGTGACTGGAGCTGGAAAGTTAGGACATAGGTCTCCAGGGGCCTTCAAGACCAGGCTCAAGCTTGCTCAGTGGGAATCCAGTCAGAAGACTGTTGCAGTGTTCTAGGTGGGAGACGATGAAAGATTTAATGAAAGAGGTGAGTGTTCTTCTGAGCTGGAATTTTCGTGACTCCTGACCAATGGAATCCCATTTCACCAGGCATTATATTTGTCAGACCTCTCTTTCTAAAGCACAGCTTGGGTCATGGCTCTCCCCAACTTAGATATCATCCACGTCTCTCCGTTACCTCCAGTGTGGAGCCTGGGCTCCTAGCCTGGCACTGAAGGCCTTCAGAAGCAGGCACCATCCTTCCCATTCAGCCTTATTGTCCAAGACTCCCAAACACACCTCCTTCCCCTTCCTGGGTCAGGTTCTTTCTTTACTGTGCCAGATGTACCCACCACCATGCCCTTAATCCTGTGGCCCTTTCTATTAATGCTTATCCTTCTCTCTATCAGAAAACTCAGTTCATCTCTCAAACCCAATTTATCCAGTTCACATCTCATTATTTGCACATCATCTTGCCTAAAGTATGAGAGCCCTCTTCCCTGAACTCAAAACAAAGAACGTAGCTAGTGAACACTTAATATGTACCAGGCACTACCTTTCCAAGTTGATCTTCTCCTTTGTCTTTTAAGGTAGACATTTTACAGGCGAGGAAACTGAGGCTTAGAGGGGTAGAGAATTTTCCCAGTCAACGAGTCAGGCAAGAGCCAAGATTCAAACCAGGTCTGTCTGAGCCCAAAAGTGATGCTTTTTCTACTGTTTCACTGAGCTACGGTTGATTTGAACCGAAAAACCCAGGGCCTATCTCCCTTGTTATCTAAAGGGCCGGCCCATTTCTGAAGCAGGACAGTGGGCCTCTAGGGCCTCGGAGTTAGGATGTGTGTTAGGGGTGGTCCTGGTGAGTTCACAGACTGTGTTGGGGTGAGAGAGCAGCCCTGTCCCTTCTCACTCCTTACTTTCTTGCTTTCCTTGCTTGGCTCTCAGGGACATGGCCTCCTCAGGAGTCTACAAACTGGATGATGGGAAGCCTTATCTGAGCAACTGCTTTCCGGCCAAAAATCTGCTTCGGATGCCAGAGGAAGGTCAGGTGACTTCTCGGATCAGTACGTTTGCCTCACACCCAGCTCCTGCTTCAGAATCTCCCTGACACCCATTTCTTCCCTTCAACCCCTTCCCTGCTGTTCCCTGCCCCTACACAATCCCTTCCCTTCCAATCCATCTCCCCCCAGCAGTCTCAGGGAGCCTTATTTTTTTTAAATTTTATTTATTTATTAGAATTCTTTTATTTTTATACAGTTTTCTTCAGGTTACTTTCCATTTAGAGATATTGGCTATATTCTCCGTGTTGTACAATACATCCTTGAGCCTAACTTACACCCAGCAGTGGGTACCTCCCACTCTCTCACACCTATATTGCCCCTTCACCACCACCCCACCCACTGGTCACCACTAGTTTGTTCTCCGTATCTGTGGGTCTGCTTCTTTTAAGTTATATTCACTAGTTTGTTGTATTTTTTAAATTCCACATAGAAGCAATATCATGCAGTACTTATCTTTCTCTGTCTGAGTTATTTCACTTAGCATAATGCCCCTCCAAGCCCATCCATGTTGTTGCAAATGGCAAAATTTCATTCTTTTTTATGGCTGAGTAGTATTCTGTTGTATATATGTACCACATCTTCTTTATCCATTCCTCTGTTGATGGACACTTAGCTTGTTTCCATGTCTTGGCTATTATAAGTAATGCTGCTATGAACATTGGGGTGCATGTATGTTTTCGAATTAGTGACTTTGTTTTTTTCAGATATATACCCAGGAGTGGAATTGCTGGATCATATGGTAGTTATGTTTTTAGTTTTTTGAGGAACCTCCACAGTGTTTTCCACAGTGGCTGCAGCAATTTACATTCCCACCAACAGTGCACAAGGGTTCTCAGGGAACCTTCTAAAGTGCACATCTAACCATAGTGTTCCCTTCTGTTTAGTGACTTCTCACTGCTAGCTCCTTTACCTTCTGCTCTAACCCCCCTTATCCTTTTTTACAACCCCTTTCCTTGATTTATGCCCTGTTCCATAGTGTTTATAATATTTTCACATAGCTTTTTAACATTTGCCCAGAACGTTCCAGCCCTCATCCCAGTTATCCAAACTCCTCCCATCCCACAAGGCCCAGCCCTTCTCCCACTTCTTCCAGTAAGCCGTATCCAGCTACTCCATCCCTCAGTGCCCATCCTCTCTTGAAAGCCGTCTTCCTTTCTGTGTTTCTTACTTGATGCATAATTATAGTCTGCCCAGCTCCTAAAAAATGGCTTAAACTTGACTCTGCTAAGTAGTTTTTCAAACATTTATCTAGTTAAAGACTCCCCTGGGGCAGGGACTCCACCTATGCTGAGCAGAGTCCTGCAGATGGAACGCTGCCGAGAAGTGTGGGTTCACTGGATTGGATTTGCTGCTTTGAAAGGGTAAAGCAAGGGAGAAGTACCCCTAGCTTACCCTAGATGAAATGACATGCTGGTCGCTCTGTACATGGAATAGTAGAAGAACCTTCTCCTCCAGCCTGTGCTCCCCACTTCTCTTGAGTGATTTCATTTTTCACACAGAGACCTTCTTTGGCCACCTATCTGTTGAAAACCCTCCCATGGAGCTCTCAGTATGCACTCATGATTTCACATCCACACCCCCTCACACACACATAGATGGACAGATAGAGAAATAAATATAGCCATATGTATCTGCATGTGTTGGTATATGTACATGTACTTCCTGGCCCACTAAGGGCAATGATACCTCAGTCGCAAAGAGCATGCCTGCCGCCTAGATGTTGATTTCTAAATACCATTCTCCAGTAAACAAAGCCAGGGCTCCTAAGACAAAAACCTGTTTCTAGGGCTGAGGCAAGAAAAATACATATTGAGCCTGGAACACTGTGTGGTGCCAGAAAATAAAGCAGTGCTCAGAAAAATGATGGGGGCAATTTGAAAGGACATAGGTGCCAAACTGAAGGATCGCCCAATGGCCAAAGCTGGAACAATATGAGCGGCAAAATAAATAAAGGTAGAATTGGTTGGAATCCGTAGAATAAGTAAATAGTCATGATCCCATGCTGATACAATTAAATTAAGAATACATAAATAAGTGGAAGAGAAGGAAAAGTCCTTCCTTACAATAGAATTACAGTTAATAAATGTAGAAGGAATTAAGGAAATAGAAAATTACTTTTTTGAGGGAAAATCACTATTAAAACATCACAGTAATAACTTTTACAGGCAAGAAACTTCTATGGATGCTGTATCAGTCAGGGTTCTTCAGAGAAATAGAATCAATAAGATGTGTGTATGTTCGTCCGTGTGTGTGTGTGTGTGTGTATCTCCTACAAGTTTTGTTTTAATATACGTATATGTGTTTATATATATGGACCAACACACATATATAAATTACATATTTTTAATGAATTGGTTTATGAAATGTGGAGGCTGGCAAGTCTGAAATCTATAGAAGAGGCAAGCTGAAACCTCAGGGAAGAGCTGATGCTTCAGTCTTAAGGCAAAATTTCATATTTCTTTCGGAAGCCTGTATTTGCACTTTTTTTTAAACATCTTTATTGGGGTATAATTACTTTACAATGGTGTGTTACTTTCTGCTTTATAACAAAGTGAATCAGTTATACATATGTTCCCATATCTCTTCCCTCTTGTGTCTCCCTCCCTCCCACCCTCCCTATCCCACCCCTCCAGGCGGTCACAAAGCACCAAGCTGATCTCCCTGTGCTATGCGGCTGCTTCCCACTAGCTATCTACCTTACGTTTGGTAGTATATATATGTCCGTGCCTCTCTCTCATTTTGTCACAGCTCACCCTTCCCCCTCCCCATATCCTCAAGTCCGTTCTCTAGCAGGTCTGTGTCTTTATTCCTGCCTTACCCCTAGGTTCTTCATGACATTTTTTTCCTTAAATTCCATATATATGTGTTAGCATACGGTATTTGTCTTTCTCTTTCTGACTTACTTCACTCTGTATGACAGACTCTAGGTCTATCCACCTCATTACAAATAGCTCAATTTCGTTTCTTTTTATGGCTGAGTAATATTCCATTGTATATATGTGCCACATCTTCTTTATCCATTCACCAATGATGGCACTTAGGTTGTTTCCATCTCCGGGCTATTGTAAATAGAGCTGCAGTGAACATTTTGGTACATGACTCTTTTTGAATTATGGTTTTCTCAGGGTATATGCCCAGTAGTGGGATTGCTGGGTCATATGGTGGTTCTATTTGTAGTTTTTTAAGGAACCTCCATACTGTTCTCCATAGTGGCTGTACCAATTCACATTCCCACCAGCAGTGCAAGAGTGTTCCCTTTTCTCCACACCCTTTCCAGCATTTATTGTTTCTAGATTTTTTTGATGATGGCCATTCTGACTGGTGTGAGATGATATCTCATTGTAGTTTTGATTTGCATTTCTCTAATGATTAATGATGTTGAGCATTCTTTCATGTGTTTGTTGGCAGTCTGTATATCTTCTTTGGAGAAATGTCTATTTAGGTCTTCTGCCCATTTTTGGATTGGGTTGTTTGTTTTTTTGTTATTGAGCTGCATGAGCTGCTTGTAAATTTTGGAAATTAATCCTTTGTCAGTTGCTTCATTTGGAAATATTTTCTCCCATTCTGAGGGTTGTCTTTTGGTCTTGTTTACGGTTTCCTTTGCTGTGCAAAAGCTTTGAAGTTTCATTAGGTCCTATTTGTTTATTTTTGTTTTTATTTCCATTTCTCTAGGAGGTGGGTCAAAAAGGATCTTGCTGTGATTTATGTCATAGAGTGTTCTCCCTATGTTTTCCTCTAAGAGTTTGATAGTTTCTGGCCTTACATTCAGGTCTTTAATCCATTTTGAGCTTATTTTTGTGTATGGTGTTAGGGAGTGATCTAATCTCATACTTCTACATGTACCTGTCCAGTTTTCCCAGCACCACTTATTGAAGAGGCTGTCCTTTCTCCACTGTACATTCCTGCCTCCTTTATCAAAGATGAGGTGACCATATGTGCGTGGGTTTATGTCTCGGCTTTCTATCCTGTTCCATTGATCTATCTTTCTGTTTTTGTGCCAGTACCATACTGTTTTGATTACTGTAGCTTTGTAGTATAGTCTGAAGTCAGGGAGCCTGATTCCTCCAGCTCCATTTTTCGTCCTCAAGATTGCTTTGGCTGTTCAGGATTTTTTGTGTTTCCATCCAAATTGTGAAATTTTTTGTTCTAGTTTTGTGAAAAATGCCAGTGGTAGTTTGATAGGGATTGCATTGAATCTGTAGATTGCTTTGGGTAGTAGAGTCATTTTCACAATGTTGATTCTTCCAATCCAAGAACATGGTACATCTCTCCGTCTATCTGTATCATCTTTAATTCTTTCATCAGTGTCTTATAATTTTTTGCATACAGGTCTTTTGTCTCCTTAGGTAGGTTTATTCCTAGATATTTTATTCTTTTTGTTGCAATGGTAAATGGGAGTGTTTTCTTGATTTCACTTTCAGATTTTTCATCATTAGTGTATAGGAATGCCAGAGATTTCTGTGCATTAATTTTGTATCCTGCAACTTTACCAAATTCACTGATTAGCTGTAGTAGTTTTCTGGTAGCATCTTTAGGATTCTCTATGTATAGTATCATGTCATCTGCAAACAGTGACAGCTTTACTTCTTCTTTTCCGATTTGTATTCCTTTTATTTCCTTTTCTTCTCTGATTGCTGTGGCTAAAGCTTCCAAAACTATGTTGAATAAGAGTGGTGAGAGTGGGCAACCTTGTCTTGTTCCTGATCTTAGTGGGAATGCTTTCAGTTTTTCACCATTGAGGATGATGTTGGCTGTGAGTTTGTCATATATGGCCTTTATTATGTTGAGGAAAGTTCCCTCTATGCCTACTTTCTGCAGGATTTTTATCATAAATCGGTGTTGAATTTTGTCAAAAGCTTTCTCTGCATCTATTGAGATTATCATATGGTTTTTCTCCTTCAATTTGTTAATATGGTTTATCACATTGATTGATTTGCGTATATTGAAGAATCCTTGCATTCCTGGAATAAACCCCACTTGAT